CGCCTGGCAGCCCATGCCAGACACTCACCTCCCTCTGCATGAAAAAATTGCCCCTCTGGACCCTTTTGTATTTCTCCCCTCTCACCTTAAACCTCTAGTTTTAGACTTCCCTACCATGGAAATAAGCTGTTGGATACCTAGCTTATCTATGCCTCTCATGATTTTATTGAGGTCACCCCTCAGTCTCCTACGCTCCAGGGAATAATGCTCCAACATATCCAGCCTCTCCTTATAACTCAAACGTTCCAGTCCAGGCAGCATCCTATTAAATCTTTGTTCTGATACTTCTGTTATTTAATCTCTCCCATTCTGTATCCTATCCCAGTCCTTCCCTTTTGTTTCTCTCCCCTCCCACATTCAGAAACATAAAGCCTGCCTTCCTTCAGTTCTGAAGCAGAATAATATTTAACTCGAAAAGGACACGGCTTCTCTCTCTGCAGATGCTGTCGAGATTTTTCCAGCACTTTCTGTTTTATTGTTTGAGCCTGCCATCTCTAAGACTCTCGATTTACAATGGTCATATCGGTGAGATTTTGGTGCACGAAAAGCTCTCTCCAACATTCAGAAATAGGACTGCAATACTGTTTTAGTTTTGCATTAAAAAGAACAGGCTGAATTATCAATTTGCCACCCGAACATTAAACTGCTCTGGTCTGCTGCCCATTATCAAAACCAAATCAATTCAAATAGAATTAATTTAGATGATGATAAAAGTCAGCCAGTTTCTGTAACATTCGGTAATTCTACAACATTAGACATACACTCAGATTGAAATTTACAATGAGTGTGAAATACACCTTGATCCAGTTGGGTTTTGTTCTGTGCTACTTTCATTTGGTATTTCATTTGAGAGGTTTCCTTTACATGCGCATATATTAGCTGGCTCCATGAGTTTCAAAACCTCATATTGGTATAATTGCTGTGAGGCCTAGTTGTGATTATCACTATAGCAACGTACAAAGGGCAGCTTTATCACACTAAGTTCTTCAAGATTCACCATAAAGACAACTGAAACACTCGTAAAAAATTGTAGTATTGTTTGCAAGCAAAATTCATAGTGGCCTGTAACTTGCTTAATTTTTTAAGGCATTAATACCAACATCAACAAATACTTTAGATAGAATTATTAGTCCTTGTGGAGTAAAAACATCCATTCCATTTTTTTTTGGTTGTGATCTGATCAAATTATAAATAGACTTTTTGTAAATCATTCAAAACAAACTCATAAAACATAGACTGGGGAACAGTCCAAGCAAAATACTGCAGATGCTGGAAATCTGACAGAGAAACAGAGAGTGCTGGAGAATCTCAGCAGGTCTGGCAGCATCTGTGGAGAGAAGAACAGAGTTAATGTTTTGAATCTGATATGACTGTTCTTCAGAACCCTCTTCTTCTGTTCGGAAAAGCAGATAGATATCGAGGCAGTCCAGAGAAGGCTGGTTTGGCTGATCCCAGGAATGAAGGGACTCTCTTAGGAGGAGAGATTGAGTAGGCTGGACCTGTACTCATTGGAATTTAGAAGAATGAGAGGTGACCTTTTTGAAACATGCAAGATTCTCAAGGGACCTGACAGGGTAGACTCAGAAAGGTCATTTCCCCTTGTGGGAGAGGGAATGATGTCAGAATAAAGGATCACCTATTTAAGACAGAGACGAGGAGGAATTTCTTCTGAGGTAGTGAATCCGTGGAATTTTTACCGCAGAGGGCTGTCATGGCTGTGTGTTGTTAAATATATTCAAGACTGAAATAGATTTGTAATCAGTAAGGGAATCAAGTGTTATGGGGTAAAAGGCAAGAAAGTGGAGTTGTAAATTATGAGATTAGCCATGATCTCACTGAATAGCAGTGCAGACTGAATGGGCTGAATGGCCTACTTCTGCTCTTACATCTTATGATGTAACTTGAAACAGGAACTATGAAAGTGGGTCTTAATAGATATCAGATTATAGTCAAGAAAGGAAAAAGACAGCACTGAAGATGACGTATGAAGAAGAGTTAAATGGAAATCACATCAAACAGACAGCTAGAACCTCTTCAAGCTGGATATCCCTCGAAGTGTCTGAATTAAACATTGCATTCAAACAGCAAAATACTGCACATCCTGCAAATGTGAAAGAAAAGCAGGAAATCTGATTTTGGCAAGATTCCATATCCTAAATGAATAATTTGGGGTTTGTGTTCCTATTTACACTCTAACTGTTAAAATGGCCATTGGAGAGTTTCAAGGCAGTACAGTGATTTTGATGGTAATGGTTAATGGATACAGTTACCATTTGTGTCAATGATGAGAGCTGAAATCCGAATGATCCCCTCTTTAATCTCAGGCAAGCACTGGAGAGGGTATACTAAACTGGAAAGGAAGCAAATGCAAACATGAAAAAAAGAGAATTTTTTTAAAAATACAAGGACAGAAATGGAAAAGAGGGAGGAAAAGGCAAAGGGAATTTAGGGAAAAGCAGAGACTGACAGAAATGATACAGCTTCCCCACAATAAAGAAGAGAAAACACTAAAGAGAAGGAGTCATTAACAGAAAGGTTAAAAGCAACACAAAAATGATGATAGATTGGTATAAAATCACACACAAAAATAAGAAGCTTAGTTACAAAGGTTAAATCCCATCATTATTCTCTGTGCCCTGTACAGATTTTCCTTTAATGTCTGGTGATTTATCTCTTTCTAGATATCTGGGATTTAAAATACCATTCAGAGCAGTTTCATGTTTGCAGATCCTCGAGCAAGAAAAAGCACCAAGGTAATATGTGGAAAAGCATTGCAAGTTATGAAAAAGTCAAACCGCAAACTAGACACTTATACCTGAGCTAAAACAAACTGTCTTGATTGAGTATCTGGTACCTGGACGCTGCTGAATCTAATCAATTAGTCTGGTGTATACTATATACATATATATACATATTCCAGATCTGAATATCTTATTCTTTCCTTCATATTGTTAGTGCATTCCCCAAATCTATAGTAACTGCTTGCATTTGCAAAATCATATGGTCACAAGTTTAGAAAAGGCTAAAACTTTTTACTAAAATGTCTGTTGATCATTCAATAGTTTCTTCTTGTTAAATTTGCTGATTTAAGAATAGATTTGATGATTGCAGGAATTGTCTGAATGAACCATAAATGTTTGAGGAACTGGCATTGCTGAAATAAATGATGTTTTCTCCTCTCTTTGGATTCCCTTTTAGTTTATATGGTAATATTTCTTCTGAACAGCAACGATAACTGCTTTTTACAGTTTGCTTTTTTTTAGGAACTGCTGACTGTCGCTCGTCGTGTACTCGGTTTCTTTAAAAAAGAATAATTTGTACCATTCTAAATATCTGGCGTTTGCCAATTAAGTCATTTCATGACTAAGTATGTGAAGGGAAAAGACCATCAGTTCCCGAACGCAGTGAAAACCAATATTTCCTGCATATGACAATTCAGAATCTTAGCAACAAGAGCTGGTTGTTGTGACCAAAGGATGGCACGTAAGCGTGTTAATTAATCCCTTACCCCTGATTCCTGATAGACAGGAACCTCTCGCCATCACTCTCAATCACTTGCTGCTACTCGCAATGAGCATCCTCTGCGCCTTTAAACAAAAGGCTAGTCTAAAGCCGATTTTGCTCAGCTCCATTGCTTCTGCATGCAATAGCTTGCAGCGGAGTCAGAAAGGGGGAAGCAGCGGCGAAATGAATGCCTGCGACATGGAATAGTTAACGTGAAGGTGTGGAACTCCAGTACTTTCTGCCAACCAACATAATGTGACAAGTGGAGCTCCTCCCCTCCCTCTCTATCTGCATCTGTAATCTTTCACAGGCTCCCAACCCTGGCGTGTTCATCCAATCTCGGTGAGCTGAAGACGGACGCTCGTCACTCGCTGGCTCCTCGCTTTCTCTCCCTGGTGTTACATACAGCAGCCTGGTTTGTAAAATGGAATACGGTAGAGAGACAGACGCCAGGCAGAGTCTACTCTGCGCCTGTAGTTTGAAAGTTCAGAAAATGGGAGAGAAACAGACCGATGGCCAGCTCCTAACGGCAGCAAGGGGAGTGTGCATTGGTCCAGACATTCAATTTTTCTAATCTGCAATCAAACATCATCGGGATCTTACAGCGAATTCTCCCGTCTCTTCAGATTGAAGGTACTTTATATATAAATGTTCAATATGATTTGTATCTGTCCCCTAACTTTTTTATCCTGTTATTGTTACCGTTGCAAGTTAAATTTTAACAATCCCTTTACCAATTCATCACCTTAGTGAGTTAAAATTTGGCTAAAGTCTTAAAAGTAATTTTTGAAAAGGAATCTAAATGAGTACAAGACTCTACATGCAATCTTAAAAGTATTTTCCATCTGCTGTGACAAGGCTAAAAAGATAGGTGAATCTCAGATATAACAACTAGATAATGACTAACAATTATTAAATTGTCCTGCATAGAATTATCAAGATGGTTTGCACAACAAACTACTGTAGGTTGTTGCTAAGTATGTGAAATAGATGTTTTACTAATTTTAATCTGCTTGACTATTTCAATTTATTATAGCTGGGATGAACTTGGTGATAACAAGGTGTAGAGCTGGATGAACACAGCAGGCCA